TTCCCTATCACGCGTGAATCTTCCAGCAAGGTTGCTTTATATATGAGTGCATTAGACTAGAAGATTATTAGAGCCTCAGATAGCGGATCAGACAGCGATAGGTCGGCTCCTCACAGAGACTACGATCGTCTGTTATCGCTCAATTCTAGAACCTTCCGAAGATGCTAGATTCCATACGAGGGAACCGAGATGGTGTTGCACGCATGCACAAGCTCTATATCCGTGTTATTCTGGATTTACGAAAGATGGCATAGCTGGATTCGCTAAAGGGATCTGGCATGGTGACTCCCATGTTTAGCAAGGCAAACTATTCTCTAAAGAGTCATAGAAGCCGCCCCAGACAACGACGGAGGTGGCGGTGGTGCGTTTGCGTGCAAATTGGTATAGCTATTGGGAGGGGGACAAGCTTTTGTGTGCCTCGCGGCTGCAGTCACTGCAGTGCAGTGGTTGGATATTCGCCTTAGCGTAAGTAGAGCTTGAGATAGGTGATCTTATTCAGTGTTGTATTACTTTCTAACCATGTCCGAGGCAGACCTACCTGTGTACGAGTCGGATGTCCACGAAGAGAAGCCAGTAAAATGGACTACTCGGTGTGCGACTAACTTTAAGAAGTCCATGGTTGGCCAAGCCTGGGAGAAGTTTTCGTACTGGCAGGAGCATGAATGGAAGGGCATCAATATCCCTATTTTCATTCTGCTTGCTATTATAGCCCTCGCATTATGGTGGGTTCATCCTTCTGATTTGGAGCCCCATACCTGGCAAGTGTTCGTTGCCTTCCTGGTCATCATTCTGGGTGCTGTCTTGGAACCCTTGCCGATGTCGGCCAGTTGTATTGTAGGTTTGGGCTTCTGTACTGTTACTAGTATTCTATCAACTGACGAGGTTCTGTCTGGCTTCGGTAACGATACGGTGTGGCTGGTCGTTATGGCATTCTTCATTGCCAGTGGTTTTGTCACGAGTGGTTTGGGTAAGAGGATTTGCTTCATCATTTTGAAGTATCTCGGATCGACCACTCTCGGTCTCGCTTATGGTTTCTGCTTGTGCGAGTTCGTATTGGCCATTGCCATCCCCTCCTCAACTGCTCGTGCTGCTGGTATCCTGTTGCCTATTATTACTCCTTTGTTGAAGGAAGGTTTCGATTCAGATCCTGCTAAGGGTACCGAGAAAAAGATCGGTACTTACCTTGTTATGAACGAAATCGTTGCCAATACCAGTTCCTCTGTTTGTTGGCTTACTGGTGGTGCTTGGAACGCTATGATGGCCAAGTTCTGTGCCGATGTTGGTGTGAACATTGGTTGGGGTGGTTGGGCTTATAGCATGGCCCCTCTCGGTATCATCACTCTTATCTATGCTCCTTTGGTCGTATTCTTAGTGATGCCTCCTCAAATTAAGAGGACTCCTGAGGCCAGGAGCATCGCCAATGGAAAGCTCGCTGAAATGGGCTCTATGTCGAAGCAAGAGATCGCAATGCTTTGTGTGTTCATTGGCATCATTATCTTGTGGATTGTTGCTTCCATGATTGATTATGTTCCTTACAGTACCACTGGTGTTGCTATCTTGGGTGTGTCCATGTTGCTTCTACTCGGCATTATTGACGTTAAGAAGGATATTGCTGAGAATAACTCTGCCTGGGATCTGTTTTTGTGGTTCGGTGTTCTTCTTATGATTGCTACCGAGCTGAAGGATACTGGTTTCTTCCAGTGGCTTGCTATCAAGATTGATCTATCGTCTCTTCCTCCCTACGCGGCTGTGTGGATTTGTACATTCATTTTCTATGTATCTCAATACCTCTTCGCGTCAATTACTGCACATGTTTCTGCTATGTTCTCTCTGTTCCTCGAGATAATGCAGCATGCCGGTGTTCCTATGGAGCTCGGCTGCCGTGCTTTAGCATACACGACTCTATCCGGGCATTTGACCCATTATACGTCTTCCTCTAACCCTCCCTATTACATCATGGGATACGTGAAACTGTCCTCATGGTTGTTCCAAGGTGTCGTTGTGATGATCGTTAACGTCATTTACATCAACACCATTGGCTGGGGTTACTGGTGGATCTTGGGCTTATGGTAAACTGGTTAGTACCGAATACCGTAAGACTGAATGCCCGTACCATTACTATATAGTTGGGATTTGACAATTTACTGTCCTTTCTCATGTTTACTGCGTCTCGCTCTATTCTTTAAGCTCTGTTTTCTACTATTCGTCCTACTGAGTATGATACCCCTGGACAACATCACCAACAGCTGTTGTGATTGATGCAGATCCAGTTGTATATTATACATTCTCTAAGGTTGCTGGTTATCTAGCATTGCAAAGTCATCGTAGAGATGTGCTTCCGCAGGAATGATTCTTCCTGTCGTTTGTGGGTCAGCTACGATTGTTTCGATAAAAGGTTCTTTGTCGTTCCTTTCACCCCTACCTACTGTCGTACTAGTGGAAGGTTTGCAAAGGATTACTCAGTGGTACTGTCCAGGTTAGTACCGTGACAGTCCACTTTATTAGAAGTGAGTCTTACACTTCATTATTCTTTAAAGAGTTGTGTTATACAAAGTGTTGGAGACTGGACGGATGTGGGAAGAGAGGAGGCTGATGGGTTCTCGGGTTTGACATTGTGTTATCGTATCTAGTAGAATTCATGGTAGGTGTTCGTGAGTTGTTGTGCCGTGCGGTTTATACGTTATGAATTCTTCGCTCACTCGAGTAGTGTGCAAAGGCTTCGTTCCTCTGCTACAATTGCTCTTGTGTTCTACGTATAAGCCTAGCCTGTAGTGTATTAGCCTGGTAATACTAGTGTAGTATACTCGCGCAGCTTCTGCCGTTGATTAACTCAATATACTCGAGTAGTTTCTGGCGTGTACTAACTCATTAATGCTAGAGTAGTTTGTGTGATGTATCAGCCTAGTATCCTCGAGTAGGTATCATGGTGTATCATCCTAGTATGCTCGATTACTTTCTCGGGTGTATTAGCCTAGTATACTCGAGTAATGCCTGTAGTATATCAACTCAATGAGCATATATGCGCGGCTGCCTGAAGCTTTCACGGCATATGAAAGTATCAGTACGTCAGGAAACGATAATTTCCATCATGTTACGCATGAAGTTGATGACTGAGTTCACCATGGAGATCCTTCTTATGCGGATTCACGTGACCAACAAGTTTAGGGCGCGCGCTAAACTCAAACGTGATGGAGAATCCTCGGAGTATCCGGGACATTAAGCTTTGTGTAACTCTCTAGCACCGTTAGCTGATTCTTGAGTATGGAGTCATAGTCACTCTTGTGGTGATAGGTTTAGGCACTGGGAGTAGTTATCATTGGATATGAATTGATCAAGTTGTTTTTGGTAGTTTAAATTATTATTCTCGACAATGCCGAGCCCTTCCATCAAGTCTGAAGAACCCACTTTGCCTTTGTCTGAATCTGACAGTCCTGCTAAAGAGGTCAAGCCGGCTTCGTGGTGGGTGCGAACATGCGACAAAATACCCGGTATCACTTACTATCGGAAATTCCATGATTGGGAGAAGAACAAGTGGCCTGGTATCAACCTGCCTCTCTTGTTGCTGTTGATTATCATTATCTTGGCACTATGGTGGGTTCCTCCAAGTGGACTAGGTATCCACACATGGCAAGTGTTCGTCACCTTCTTGGTCACTATTATTGGCGCTGTTACAGAGCCTCTTCCGATGTCTGGTATTTGCTTGGTGTCTCTTGGGTTCTGTACAGTCACCAATGTTCTGTCGACTGCGCAGATTCTATCCGGTTTTGGTAACGATACCGTATGGCTAATTGTCTTTGCATGCTTCATTGCAAGCGGTTTTGTTACTACCGGTTTAGGCAAGCGGTTATGTTTTATTATTTTAAAGTATATCGGCTCTACCACTCTTGGACTTGCTTATGCTTTCTGTATTTGCGAGTTCATATTGGCTATGGCAATTCCCTCGTCCACTGCTAGAGGTGCGGGTATTCTTCTACCTATCATAGAGCCTCTTCTTAAGGAAGGTTTCCAGTCAGATCCTGCACTTGGAACTGAAAGAAGAATCGGCTCGTACATGGTTATGGTTGAGATTGTTGCTAATACCACCTCGTCTGTGTGCTGGTTAACGGGTGGTGCTTGGAATGCTATGATGGCTAACTTCATGACAGATGTCGGAGTGCATCTCAGTTGGGGTCAATGGGCATATAGCATGGCACCCCCGGGGATTCTACCTCTGATCTATGGTCCTATCATCCTGTACTTCTTGTATCCTCCAGAGATCAAGAGAACACCGCAAGCGAAACAGTTGGCCAATGATAAATTGGCTGAGATGGGTCGTGTCGGTGCATTCGAAATCGTCATGGGTTTGGTGTTCCTTTTGGTTATTATTCTCTGGATTGTTGCATCTTCTATTGATTTTGTGCCATATAGCACAACTGGTGTGGCCATTCTCGGTTTGAGTATCTTGCTAATGACTGGCATTCTTGATGTGAAGAAGGATATTGTTGCCAACAAGGGAGCCTGGGATCTGTTCCTCTGGTTTGGTGTGCTGCTAATGTTGGCCACCGAGTTGAAGGAAACTGGCTTCTTTGAGTGGTTTGCTACTCTAATTGATTTGTCGAGTGTACCTGCTTACGCCAGTGTATGGATATGTACGGCAATCTTCTATATATCACAGTACCTCTTCGCAAGTATCACTGCGCATGTGTCTGCTATGTTCCCAGTCTTTTTGCAGATTATGCAAAGAGCAGGAGTGCCTATGGATCTAGGTGCTCGTGCACTTGCGTACACTACTCTATCTGGTCATCTTACTCAGTACACAAGTTCCACCAATCCACCTTTCTTCAACATGAAGTATGTACCTATGGGTCGATGGTGGTTACAAGGTTTAATCGTTATGATTGTTAACTTGATTGTCCTTAACACTATCTGTTGGGGATACTGGTGGTTGCTTGGGTTCTGGTAAGGAGTGTTATGATGTCTATCTTATCACTATTCCACACTGTTCATAGTTTCTCGCTTTCTCGGCATATCCACATGTGGCCGTATATGACCCTGTTGGTTTATGTTTGTTTTGGTGTAGTTCGTGACTGACAATGTTCATGAGTAACAAGGATAGCATTCTTCCATCCTTGTTGTTCGCTTTGTGGTTATGACGATCCTGTAGTTGTAGTGTTACTTTGCTGCTACCGCGTCACTGACTATAACATAGGTATTGTGATTATATTCCTACTATAACGTCTCTACTGCTTTCGGGTAGAAAGCAGGTTGTTACTTTTCTTTTCCCGAAGTACACGGTACAACCGGGCATACAATTGGGCGCTCTAGTTGCCCCTGGGATAGGTGTGAAGTGTCCCAGCGTATTCTACTATAAAGCCAGTCGAGTGGCTGGCAACCTGAGGCTCATTGATAGTTTGTTTAAAACAATGAATCTTCCTCTAGGAATTGATCTCACACTTTGTGGTTTTGAGTTCATCAGTGCATCGACGGGTCGGTTATTGGTCTAGGAATTGGTTTGTAATAGTAGATCAGTGAGGTTGTATTCCGGTTAGGAGTATCGCAATGTTCGTTATCTCGGCTTGTGTGGTTTGAATGAGATTACACTGGGAGGTTGACGTCGTCCTTTCTACGAAATTGTACTGAACACAGTAGTAAGAAGGTAGGGCTGTGTCGATGGTGGTCGATTCTGCTCGCTTTTGTGTGGTCTCATTGTTTAGGTGAAATTGACTAGGGTATCGGTTTGGCCCTCGTGGCGAGTCTGGAAGAGTCTAGAGTCCCTATGTAGCAGAGGTTTGGAATGTGAACAATTTGGAGCTTTGCTCTGATTGATGTGCTCGGTTGTTGTCAGTGCTAGAGTCATCAACAGCACGGTTGTGACCACTCGTAACTCTAGCCATCAACTATGATCTTCACAGTTCAACAACGTGTGCT